TCTTCTGCTCTCCGCTGCCAAACTGTACGGGTGACTGCTTCCCTTTCTCATAGAGCATTTCGGGCATTAGGCACAACTTTTGGTTGTTAGTTAGATACATAGCTTGGCAGCGCCACAGCTCGAGCGGTTAGTTCGATCCCGGGTCTGGTCAAGTGGGATTTGTGGTGGACAAAATGGCTCTGGGGCAGGTATTCTCCGGGAACTTCGGTTTCCCCTGCCAATCTTCATTCCAAAAATTGCTCCACAATCACCCTCACCTATCATCTGGGGCTGGTACAGTAGGCCAGAACTGACCGCAGTACAAGGGACTTAGTCCCACCCCACTAGCAATAAAAAAATAGCCACGTAGTTCGAGGCCGAGAGTGTGCTGAGCGCCCATATCACATCAAATCCTACAAAGACAAAGGACTAATCGCAAACAAGAAAAAATCGCCTACCTTTACTGATGAATGTCTGATTTAAACTGTAACAGCACTTGAGGCCTGAGTTTCTAGTCATCGCTACTTATGTTGTATCTTTCATTGTTACGAGCCCTATTCTAGCCGCCCGGCCTAAACAATGACGCTAAACTAACTACCCGAATCAACATCTGAACCATGAAGCAGTCTTCGTGTCTGAGACCTCGAGATGTCAGCCTAAATGTTTAGCAAGTCAGTTTATCGGATGATACACGCCTAGAGGCAAGATACAAATGTTACCGCTACACTGACTTGTCCCTGGTAAGGTTCCTCGCTTTGAAGAAGTTTGAGCGAAACATTAGAAATTTATTCATACTTATCACTGACCGATCTAGAAGATCAGGTAGATGCTTTCAGAGTATATTTAACGATGCTGTGTCCACTGTTGAAGTTACGGAGCATGTACCAATACAATATTCTGTATAACAGAACAGTATGGACTACGTGGAATGCATTTTCATGAAAACTACTTTATACTACTAGAAAGTGAGTAGGCGCGCTATCGAAAATGTGCTGCTCGCTTGCACTGTAATGTATTGATCACGCGGCGCCGTAAGCCTTACGCAACCCACGAAACAGAGTCCGCCAGCACTGGCTGCTTGCTTCATCCAGTCAAAAATTCTGATCATAGTTTCATTATGTGCTGGCCGGTAGCGAACACAGAAATCTCGTCCAGTTAATGAAAAAATGCGTCTTCATGAACACTCATAAAATATTATCCTGTGAGTCCCCAATAAACACTTTTCGTTTTAAAACAACTAATTCACAGGATTAACTCAATTCAATCCGAGAATGTCTACAGAAATGTAACGAATCAGAAACCCCAGACTTTTCACACGTCACCTGTTCTTGTTATGATTATGAAACCAAGGAGTTCTTAATGGATATGATATACAACACGAGCTAAGAATCATGACATATGGACACGTTTCGTTTGGTAAACTCCACAGAAAAACCCTTCAGTGACCGAGACAAATTTGAAGGATAATTCTGAAACTGGTTTTACTGGAACATGTTGTGCAAAATATGAACTTCAGCAAATTAACTTCACACAGGGACCAGAGGCAGGATTCTCTGTTGATAATTATTAACCTTCGGATTCCTTAACAACATTTACCGGCAATATATAAAAAAAACTAAATAATGCAAGATCTTCCTTGAACAATCATATTTACATTTATTACTTATAAATTTGACCTGAAAAATTCAATACCTTAATATATATCTTTATGTTATTCTCACATATCCATATTCATGTTTCAAAATCCTGCTTTCCGAGAGAATTTTCAACCAAAATTCTGTATAAATATTTCCCTCTTCTCAGTTACTCAGTATGACGTTGGACCTAAACTGTCCCATTCAACCTTTCAGGCGACAGTCCAGAAACAAGCTATCTTTAGGCTTTGCACACCAGCAGCAAACATTACATGCTGAAACCAAATGGCCATCACTTCGGACAATTGAGTAGATCGACTAATAATATACCACACGATATAGAGCCTCCCTTTTTTTTTTAATGCTAGTGGGGTGGGACTAAGTCCCTTGTACTGCGGCCAATTCTGGCCTATTGTACCAGCCCCAGATGATAGGTGAGGGGGATTGTGGAGCAATTGGTAGAATGAAGATTGGCAGGGAAACCGAAGTACTCGGAGAAAACCTGCCCCAGCGCCACTTTGTCCACCACAAATTCCACTTGACCAGACCCGGCATCGAACCCGGGCCGCTGCGGTGGGAAGCCAGCGACTAACCGCTTTAGCTATGGCGCGGCCCCTAGAGCTTCCCTTAGACAGCAGTCAACTGCTCAACTATAAAGAATAAATCCAGAGGTTAATCAGAGTGTCTACAAAAATTCATTACACAAAACCCAGAGCCAGTTGAATCCAATTTATATCATGCACCATCACGGGCCTAATTAAAATTATTTATTTGTACTCGTATTCTATTAGCTATTACGTTTTTATATAGGAGACGTAGAGAGAGCAGGAGCTTTAGGCACGTTGACATAGACCAGAGGGAAAGCGGCCTCCGTAACGTTCCTACCTCATGACTCAAGGTACGCGGGTTCAAACCCGGCGGAGGTCGTGGAATTTTTAAGGGCGGAAAAATTCAGGGAACAAGTCGTCCGGGAGGGACTTTAAGCCGTGGGTCCCGTGTCGTAGCTTTACGGCACGTAAAAGGACATCGTGTCCCAAGGGGACTACTGAGCCAAATTGATCGGGCATTTCCCGCCCAACAGTAGTCTCTAACGCCTCTGATAGATGGGGGAAGCATCGAGAGATACNCCGCCGTCATCCTCACCATCCAAGGAACTACTTTCTGTGGCCTCAGAATAGCATTATTCAGTGCAGGTTCCCAAAATGTTACGTTTGTGATAGACCTTAGAAATTTATAACGATTATCTTCAGTTATAAACAATTCACTGTACAATCGTCACACAGACTTCTTGCTGCAAGATACAGTCAGTTACACAAGATGTGGTGCTCACAGGACAGTCAACGAGTGGAAAGTGCCCATAAATTTGACATGCAAAGCGGACACATGAATGCATATACGTATATGGTACAGTGAATCGTTTATACTGTTTACGAATATAGACACACGGTACAGTTTTGCTGTTTCAGGAAGATATCCATTAAGCAATTAGGCAATATATGAGTATTACTGTTTGCTGATGGTAAATAACTAATCATTTTGAAATGACATGCGATATTTATACGGTAACAAACATCTGTAGTTGCCGGTAGCCACTACCCATTCCTTTGCCAAGAATCAGTAGCTCGCATATTTATTCGTATTTTTATTAGCATGGAGCCCTTTGAAATTTCAAGAGGGAATGTTTAAAAACATACATCATCAAAAATACCTAATTTCAGTAACTTGAAGAATTCTGGAAAGACAGCTAGATCTGTAAAAGAAAAGTACTAAACTTGACAGTTCTGAATATTGTCTAAGTAGTGGTGGTATCACTGCGAAACATTTCCGGCAAAGATTGTTTATAACAACAAACTTCGTCAGAAATACCTAACAAACTTTTTCTTCCACGAGCAACAGATTATCATAACGACCAACGTTTAGTTCACCATAAATTATCAGAAATGCACTTCTTTCAGTCACGACATGGCCAACTATAATATCTGATACCTGAGTGATTTCGCTTTCACATACAAAACAAGTAATGACAAATATTGTCTAAGTGTAAATAGTATCTATTTCTTCCACATTATCGCTATGAACATATCCTTTATACCTGTACATTTGTACTTTCCCATTTCACTCGTAAACATATATTAATCTGAATTATGTAGAAAGCAGCAAATGACGAAGCATTTCCACACATAAGCCCTCTACTGATCAGTTCTTACATACATTAAATAAAGTTTCTGGTGGGTATGCAACAATCAGCAATGGAAATTCATTTTCTGGAATTCACGGCTGCCTTTAGGACAATTCCGTAACCCTTAATGCGCAGCCGCAGATTTGATAGGACGGCCTCAGATGCAACGTATGGACTGAACCATGTGCTTCGGCAGTGTGGGTGAAGTCAGGCATCTAACTACCCCCGAGTTTTCGAAAGGGACTAATTTGAAAGTGGAAGAGAATATATTTTAAATGTGGGCCATCTACGTTTCAATACAGACATCCACGACACTGGGGCGATGCGTAAAAATATTCTAATACGGCTTAAATTTTATATGATATCACCTCCCTCGAAAATATTCCTAGCATAGTTTATAGGCGGAACCCCCGAAATAAACAAGTTCCGTTTCTAGCTACGGTTTCCAAAGATAAGTCCTCCACTCGTAACTTTTATATGCATTAAATCATAGTTTCCCTTATGCATACGGTACCAGAAATGGATATAAGTTTTCTGAAAATTTCGAGACTGCAATGCCGCCTGTCAACTAATCTTGTGACTACGTCTGCAGCTTTCTGTTATGGATGACCTTCGGGCATCTCTGCTAGCCTTCGGCTCTTGTTGATAGAAATTAAAATGTTAGAAACCCGCATTATTGTCCAAATAAAATTTCACTAATATACTATGTACCTATACACATCCTTAAAACTGTGATTCATGTCCCAGAATCGAAGGTGCGGCAGTTTGTGGCGTACTGCTGTAGAGCTGCAACAGTTAACAGTCCTTTACCTGCGCTTACTCGCTGGATTCCAAAATGTAAATATTAAGCTATCCAATAATTTTGAGCCCCGTGCCGCCATTTTGATCCAACTATGCTGCGAAGATTCGTTAAAACGTGATTCTCAAAATATCAACAAAGATATTTTACAAGCTGTCACAGTCGAAGAAAGTCTGGGAGAACTTCAAGTACGCAATTTCCGGGAATATCACCGATAGAACCCCCTGGGGATCACATTTATGAGTTTCACAGTTTCCCAGATGAATACAGAATGCTAACTGAATACACATTTTACAATCTCACTATACAAGAGACATTCAACGCTGGGCTTAACCCACGTGTGGGGGAAATTAACCTCAATGTTAGCATATAAAGACTGAACACTCAGAAAACAAGACGGGATACATACCATTCAAAGCCGAGCCCAGCAGGCCGACCGCAACACACATCAGCACAGCAGCACACACCAAACCCTCCTTCCATGCGCGCGGTCGCACTTCTCTCTGCGATCGAACGCCCCACAAGCTACTAGATCGCATGCCGGCCGCAATGGCGCTGACGGCGCTGACTACCCCAGCATATTAAGAGACAGTTCCGTGGAAGGGGGTGAAGTTAATGGGGGAGACGAAAGAAACCCGGTTCGACTCTCGATAACGGCCACTTGTTCTATGCTATCAGCTCTCACTACGCTTGTAAATATTTTTGAACTTGACGAGAATCTCAAATCCAGCATTCCTAAACTTCAAAGAGAAAAAGCGGTTGCTAGTGCTCCTTTTCTTAAGTGTGGGAGAAATCTGCTGTCAGTGTCTAGTAGCAGAAGTGAAGTTATATAATAGTTCTTCTTGGTTTGTGTAACGACGCTTTCAATAGCTTTAATTATTTAGCGTCAAATAATAGGATGACTAGAGAACAATGAATGAACACGGATGTGGAAGGAAACGATTATGGCCTAATTTGAGCTACTGGAGAAGAGCTGGGAGCGTTGGGGAAAACCACGAAAACCCTCAATCAGGGTATCCGGTCTTCGGGCCAATATTTGAGAATCTACCGAATTCAGACCAGAAATTTCATACATTCGACAACGAAATTCAGTGTAAAGCCAGAGAAATAAATTGCCTTCTTCTTTACTTCCTCAAAATGAGAAGACATTTTCAAACAATACATGTCCGTGGCAGAGGAAATGAAGTAACTCAAGGTCGCCTTTAATGGGAAATAGTGTAATTAAAACCCCTAAAGAGGCTAGAGTGTGGAGAAGACAGGTTAATGCTAGAGAAATATGCCCGCCGCTGTCCGTTACAGCCCACAGTGCGGCCCTCAAATTAATTAAGAAATTTCTTAGATTTTTTCATACTTAACGGTAACAACAGCCGCGCCATAGCTCAAGCGGTTAGTCCCTGGCTTCCCACCGCGGCNTAAATAAAGAATTGAAATTGAAATGAAATTATTCCTTGTAGCAGAAGGAAACTTGGCCTTTCGCTCTGAGGAAAGAACACAGGATGAGGGTGTTTTGGGAATAGCTGCTAATTTCTGCTGAAACTTAAAAACGATGAGGATTCACATCGTTTTCCTTTGGTTTGGCAACCTGCAGTCTCGTACAGGGGGTTTCATTGTAAGTTGTTTAACGGTACTTTCCGTTTACAATATTATATTTAAGTATCCTGTTGCANGTACCGGTAACATACATCGCAGTCTGTTAGTAAATTAATGAAATCGGGCACTGAATAGGCTTATACATTCGTATCTGAATGAACTGTGACTGTAATAAGTTAGGTTGTCAGTAACAAATCAAAGTAATGTACATGCCAAATATTCTGACTTGCTGTAGACGAGTGTCCTGTGAGACAAATACCTCTTGTTGTCTCTCTCAACTTCAGTCAAGTCTACCGGTATCCCGCCCAAGACTCGAACCTATTACCTCCCAAATATAAGTCTCTGCCATTAATTCTAAAGCACTCTGTTCGGTGTCAATATTTCTGAGTAGTTGAAGGCAGCATATTGCTCCAAAAAGCTGGTAGCCTTGCCCACCTACCAGCATACACAATGTATAACCCAACACCAAAATATAATTTGAACTACTTTTCACCAAATATTATTATGGTGATCACGTCAACGACAATGAGAATATAGCACATATAGAAGAGCTGATAAATGCATGCAAAACATTAAGCGGAAAAAATCAATAGAAGAGACCACTTGCGAGACATAGGTATAGATAAACTCCGCGGCCTGTAGTCCGCAAGCGAACTATACCGACCGAGCGACCGCCGCTTGTCGGCGAAGTTAGTGCCAACTTTTGTGGATAGAGGGTGTCACGTGGTCAGCGCAACGGATCCTCACGGCTGTTAATCTCGGTTTTCTAGACCGGCAGAAGTATAGAAAGGAACATAATATTAAAATGGATCTTAAAGAAGAAAAGTTTGAGGATGTGGAGCCAATTCATCCGGTGTAAGATAGGAACAGGCAGCGAATTCTTGTAAACACAATAACGAACCTCTGGTATCACCAAAGGTGATTCGATTCTTCACAAGTCAAAATACTATTAGCTTATCAGTAAGTTGTTTAACAGTAGGAAGTATGAAATGAAGTGAGTTAATAAAATATTGAATATTGATTGAATATGGTAAGTACGTCTCCGACTTGTCATGCACGTCCGCTGATTTTTTTGCATCTCTGGTTACTAGAATCTGTGGACCATGATTACTGTGCACATCCTAGTGTCTTTTGTCACAAGATTTAGGCCTACAGCACTATTTTTCTTTCGAGTCTTCAAACTGACGAATTGCCAAAAACATCTAGTGGGAGTTCCCGAAATCATTTTTGTTATTACAAATCTGGAACAGAACAGAACTTGTTCTGTTGTTACACGAAAACCTGCTGTCGCTTGTGTTCTGTTATCTTTACTTTACTTGAGGAAGTGCTGGAAGGGTGTACAGAACATTGCAAGAAGACACCAATTTACTGCACTTTCACGTAAGAAATGTTTGTTGTGGCTAGAAACCAAAGCAGACCCAGCCATAGAGAAATTCGAGCCATCAAGTTACACACCGCGGGCATTGTTTAAGGTTCACAAAGAGATGACTGTTTACAGGTGTAGCTATATTTAGCGGAAGGTTGATAACTGTGGGCAGACGGCCTGGTAGGAGATTCATTTACGAATTCCGTAAACTCCCTCAGCTGCTGTTACTTTGAATACACGCCCACCGTCATCCATCTGCATTCTAACTTACAGACTCAGGACTTCCGGAATCAGTGTTCTCTGCATGAGAAACGTTGATATCTGCCTCTTGCATTCCCTTTGCCTTTAAGACACATACTCGTATTTTAGAGGATATCGAGTTCACAAACCAAAAACATACATCTGTGCGATATTTCAGTAACCCAAATTCTGTAAAAATAATCTCTGGCTTGTTACAATATTTCGACGAGTATGCAAATTGTCATCATAAAAGTTAAATCCATTTTACAGATTGTTTACAAATCAAAAATGAGGTAATTGGACTTTTTTCAAGTGACCTAATCCTTCCGGCCGCACTATGGCCCTAGGGTTTACTCAGCCTTTAACAGAAGTGAGTACCAGGAATTAATTAAATAATTTTCCTGGGGAGTAAAGCGCGGCCGGCGCGTAAGGCTGACAACCTTACCGCCATCTTTGAGCCGATTGTCTAGATAATGTGGACCCTCAATGTCTCACAACCCTATGGGCCTTCACGGCCTGTTACAGGGATAGCTTTACTTACTTTTACTTTTACAAATCAAAATTCAGTTACAAAATTGTATCTCCGGCAGTAGGTTAATTGCGGGTGTAACAGAAAAATGCCACAAATTATAACATAAAAAAGGCAAATGAACCGAAGTGTTGATAGTGGCGAGAAAGAGAGGGGCAGCAATAATGTGGTCCGCCATGTTGCGCCTACACCATCTCACCGTTATTTTTGGTCTTTCCTTGATACGATAAAACATGAATGTGAAAGAATATATTTGTCAATTTCCATTCTTACGGAAAATTTCGTAATTATTTTACTGTTCTTCTCATTCTTATTTGTTAATATTTCTTGTTCTATTCCATGTTTTCAATGACGATATACTCATTTGTAATCACTTGTGAAGTGTAATTAGATTCTATAAATTAACACCGTAATGATGACAAATATCAGCCTTAAGCAGCAGCGCCGTATGCTACGTCAGGGAAGTGTGACGTATCCTATGATTGTCATTCTCTGGCTTGATCGTTGCGGCGAAATATTTGACAGGGAATAAATCCATCCATCCACATGGAAAATGTTCTGAAAACACAGTTCTCGACCAACTGTTCGGCCATGTTGCACTGAGCCTCTTTCCTTGCCTCATTTTGTACTGCAACATCCACACCACAGAAGGAAAACGTTTTGGATAGTCTGCCGTTAGAGGTATGAAAGGTGTACTTAGGAGCCGTCAACACAACAATTGATTATAAACCGATATTAAAATGTTTAATATTCCAGTTATCCTATTTTCATCCCAATATATGTTTCGAACTGAAAAAGATCGTCATCAAGGGGTTTTAATGATTACACATGTCATTACTGAATTATCAGAATGGATCCACGATGCCCAGCTAAACTATTTCAAAAACGGCACCCAGCACAACACTTCCTCCCATTTCAAATGTTAAAAAAAAAATAGAATTATTTTTATATTAAATTTTATTTAACTGATAAATTTTAACTTTTAACATATTTAACTTTTATCACACATTATTCGAGATATACCCCCACAAAAACTTAAAATTGAATTTTAGGTTATAATATATTGCGAAATGTAAAACATGGATTCATTTTGATAATTCAGTAACGATATATATATTCATAAAAACCAAGTGATAATGATTTTTGTCAATCGAAATATGCACAAAAAGCAAAACAAACTCCGTTGCCTGTAGTCCGCAAGCGAGTTATACTGATCCGAGCAACGGATCCACACCGCCGTTAATCTCGAAACATGTAGTGGGACTAAAATAAAATAGCCCTAATATTAAATGTTTTAATATCGATTTGTTGTCAATTGTGTTGACGGCCCTTAAGTATACCGTTAGTACATGACACACAACAGGATGTAGAACACAGAGGTACGGCATAGGTCTACAGATCGAATATATCTATGAGATGTATTACTGTTTCCATATCTTTGGAATATTTTCTTTTGAAGGTTCACGTAGTCTCCATCTTCGTCATTTTAAATTCAAAGACAAGGTAGACAACAGGTACCATGCAAATTATTTAAGTTCATATCTCCTTCCACCAAAATTTTATCTCATCAGATCGAACACATTAAAAGGCATTCTTAGTTTGAATTTTGCAGCTGATTTTCAGATATTGTAGACATTTTTCAAAAACTGAAGTTCAAGTCTCAAAAATAAGCCTACCCTTGAGATTCCGGAAGAAGAGCAAAAATTAAAAATATAAGAGCCCGTTTCTTCCACAAAACGTGATATAAATGACGCAATTCATTCAAACAA